TTAAACTAGTTGACTAAACTATGACCTTAGAAATTTTAAGATTATGTGTATATTATTTTTGTCTCATCCTTTATATATCATAACAAACCTACACAGACCTTCATTACTTCCTTAGGCTTTTTCGTTTTTTCTGTCTACTTTGGAAAATATCTCCATTCCCACTTCCTTTAATTATTTTTTAAAATTTTATGTGTATGAGTGTTTTGCCTGCATGTATGTAAGTGCACCTGTATCATGCACCCATGTGGTGTGTAATGACCACAGAAGCTAGAAGAGGGCTTTGGATCTTTTAGAACTGAGTTATTAATTTGCTTTTTTTAAATTTAATTTTTGTGCATTTCATACAGTATCTCTTAATTGTATTTAGATTCCCCTCTTCTATATGCATTTTGTCATATATGTTAAGGCCTATCAAGTCAAGTTTGTGTTCCCAGATGTCTCGGTGTGAGTTCACCCACTGGAGCCTGGTCAATCTACCTAGCATCATTTCCTTAAAGATCAACTCTCCCTCATCCAGCAGTGATCAATTGCCAGTAGTTCCTTGTTGTGGCTTCTTACTCATTTCCCTACTTCTATGCTGGGTTTTTGTCTGGTTTGAGTTTGTACAGATCTTGTGCATGCTGTCACCATCGCTGTAAGTTCATATGAGCAAATTTTTAGCTGCCTGGAAAACTAGGTTTCCCTGTGGTTGTCTACCACCCCTGGCTCTTACAGTCTTTCTGTCGTCCTCTCTTCCACAATGGTCCCTGAGCCCTGGGTGGCAGAGGTTTCATATAGGAGTCCTAACTAGAGACATGTACTCTGACATCTCTTGTTCTCTACATTTTGGCCAGTTGTGGCTTTCTGTGTTGATCTGTTGCATGAGGAAGCTTTGCTGGTGAGAGTTGAAAGGTGCACTAATATTTTCTCTGTGTTCCATGAAAGTTGAGAAATATATTCACCCTATGTATAGAGCTTGCATCATAGATGTGTCACTTAGGGTTGGGCATGTTACAGACATTTATTATTCTCTGCATTTAACCACTTGTGGAACTCTGTAATAGTCTCCATCTGTTACAAAAAGAAGCATCTTTGATGAGTTGTGAGAGCTGTATTTCTCTGTAAGTATAAGGATACATATTTAGCATACAGTAAGAAATTATGTATACTAATACATAATTGTCTAGGGATGTGATAGATGTAGGTAGGCTTTTCTCTAGGATCTATCACCTCTCCGGCCATGTGTATTTGGCTATGTTTACAGTACTGAATTATAGGTTCCCTCCCAGTGATAAAGCTTTAAATCCAATTAGATAATCATTGATTATGCCCAAGATAAAAGTGGCACTGGAGTTACTGACAGACTTGAAGGTGCTAGGAATGAAGCCTGGGTCTTCTGCAAGAACAGCCAATGCTCTTAACTGCTGGGCCATCTCTCTAGTCCCTGTTTATTTATTGAAACAGTGTCTCATGTAACCCAGACTGATATAAAACTACATACTGAGGATAACCTTGAACTCCTGATCCTCTTGCCACCACTTCCCAAGTGCTGGGACTACAGATATGTGCCAGAAATCACCACATATTTTTACATGAGAAGTTGTCCAACCTTGTAGAGTAAGTTTTTCTTTCTTTCTTTCTTTCTTTCTTTCTTTCTTTCTTTCTTTCTTTCTTTCTTTCTTTCTTTCTTTTTGTCCATTCACCAGGTAGAAAGGTGTTGGCTTGCTTTATAAATGAATGCCTTAGAAATGAAAGTTACCAGGGAGGCAGAGGTAGAAGAGGATCACAAGTTCAAGGCCTCCCTGTGCCATCGAGTGAGCACAAGGTCTCTTTGGGTAACTCAGTGACACCTTATCTCAAAATAAACAATAAAAAGAGAACTGGACTAAGAAGATACGCCCACTTGTGTAACAGTGGCATGACGTATGGGAGCAAACAACTACTTTCTCATAGGATTTAAAGCCTGTTGCACAAAACAGAATTCATGCCTGGCACTGTTAATGAGGCCAAAAACCCATGTCTGACTGGGTCATGAGCCCCAGGGGGAGAACCTAATACCTATTATTCTGCTAAATGGACATAGTAATAAATTTCACCTTAAGTTTTTGTCTTTATATTTTATTTATTTTTTATGTGTATGAGTGTATTGCCTGCACGTGTAAGGGCACCCATGTCATGCAATGCCCGAGGAAGTCAAAAGAGGGCATTGGATCCCTTGGAACTGGAGTTATGGTTGTTAGCTGCAGTGTGGGTGCTGGGAATCAAACCTGGGTCCTCTGAAAGAACTGCCAATGCTCTTAATTGTTGAGCCATTTCTCTAGCCCCAAGTTCTGATCTTTATATCCATAGATGAATGCATCTCTCAACCCTCATCAGAGAATCTTCTATGTGAAATAGATGACAGGTAATATAGAGACTCACAACTGTTCAAGGTGCAGACAATAACAGACTGTGGAGTACTCAGCTCTAAATGGGACATCTGTATCACACTTCCTCCTTCTCCAGGGCTCAGTGATATTCTGGAAGAAGGGCAGAAAGACTGTAAGAGTCAAAGGGAGATCTGCAGCAAAACAGTGATTTTATTCATTTATTTATTTGACATAGCCCATTCTCTTTTTTTTGTAAATTTTTAATTGAATTTTTGTGTATTTCATACAGAACATCATTATACCCCCTTCCTCAATGGCACCTTCCAATTGCTACCCCCTCTTGAATGCATACATTCTGTCATTTGTGTTAAGGCCTATCAAGTCAAGTTAGTCTCCCCAGATGTCCCTCAGTGAAAGTGTATTACTAAGATCTAGTCAGCCTATCTAGAGTCCCTCCCTTTAAGAAGATCAGCTCTTCCTCACCCAGCAGTAATCAGCTGCTAGTAATTTTTCCACTAAGATTGGGACCTGATGCCTATTTTCACAGTTCTGTGCTGGGTTTTTGTCTGCTTGAGTTTGCATGGGTCTTGTGCATGCTGATGCCATTAGTGTAGGTTTGTATGAACAAGGTCCCAGGGATCTGTAGCACTCTATTTCCATATGGTCATGCACCTCCTCCCTGTCTCTTACAATTTTTTTGCCCCCTCTTCCAAAATGATCCCTGAGCCCTGAATGGGTAGAGTTTAATATAGGAGTCCTGTCCAAGGACCCATACTCTGCAGACTTTTATTCTCTACATTTTGGCCATGTGTGACCTTCTGTGTTCCTGGCCCTCTGTTGCATGGAGGAGCTTCATTGATGAGAATTAAAAGATGCATTATTTCTAGTTCTATGTTCCATGAGCCTTAGGTGTAGAAGTTGCATTGTAGATGTGCCACTTAGGCTTGGACAATTCACAATCTGTGTGTCTGACCAGCTTTGGAACTCTGTAATAATCTCTGTTTGTTGCAAAAGATGCTTCTTTGATGAGTGGTGACTGGGATATTTTTCTGTAAATATAAGGACCCTTATTTTGCACATAGTAAGAAATTATATTTGTCTAGGAAAGTGGCAGCCTTGGTGTTTTCTCTAAGATCTATGACATCTCCAGCCATGTGTATTTCGTTATGTTTATTTTTTAATTTTCCAAGAATTATCTTTACAAGTTCTGGAAAGAAAAAAATGTGTTATATTTTATCTCTGGGACAGTATTTAATTAAAAATTGATCTAAGAAGGTCTGATATCTTGATATATTTTTTCCTCCCATACCAATAAAAAGGGACATTTTTCTATTATTAAAAAAAATATTTATTTCATTTTGTTGTGTGTGTGTTGTATGTAAATGTACTACATGTGTGCAATGACTGAAAAGGCCAGAAGAGGGCATCACATCCCCTGGAACTGGAGTTACAGATAGCTCTCATTTGCCATGTGGGAACTGAACCCAGGTCCCTTCCGGAGCAGCCAGTGCTTTTAACCACTGAGCCATCTCTGCAGCCCCTAGATGTTACTTTTTGACCTGTTTTCAGGCCTATTCATGTATCCCACACACTTAATAGAGTAAGCGCGGTCATATGTATTTACCACTTTGTTCCACTCTAAGTGGGGTCTTTCCCACTCACGTCTTACAGATCGTTGTATTACAGAAACTGTTGGTTTCTCAGTTTTCGGTTGAGGCTCTTGGATATACTTGTAGCCTCTGGAACATTCTGCCTCTTCTTTTCCACTGTTTGACTTCTGATTTTTTTTTTTTCCTGTGTGATTATACTGGCTAGCATCTCAAGTACAAGAAGTTAAATAAGCAATGGTTATTCTCTCCATCTAGATAGGTTGTTACTAGTTTTCTCCAGGGCGTGCACATTCCATGACCTCCAGTGGAGGCTGAAGCCACAGACAGTAATGGAGCCTGCCATGTTTTTACATCCATGCTACGTTTTTACATATACACACACCTGTGATGGTCAGCTTCTTTCCACGTTTCTTGGTTTCCAGCTTTGCTACTCTAGCACTTTGAGGTCATTAACAAAAATAAAGTTTGTTTGAATGTAAGTGCTGAGATGGGACCACAGTAGATCTGAAAACTGAGGGAACCATGATGTGACAGTTCCACAATCACATCTCAGGCAGGGCAAAGCAGACAGTGAGATTTTTATTTGTGTGCTTCAGAACAGCGTACAGTTTAAAGATGTACTGTTTATTTCTAGAACTTTTTACTTGCTAATTTTGGGCTGTGGTTGACCATAGGTACTGAAATTACAAAAAACAAAACTGCAGCTAAGATACCACTGTTTTGGCTTTGGGGATGAATTTTAATACCAGTGAAAGAATTTTGGAATTTGTGATAAAATATATTTGAATTACAAATCCTAAATCAGCATTCCTTTTTCCCAGAATAATTCTCCACTGTGTTTCAAATGACATATATTCTAGGACAACTTTCAGCAGAAATAAAAAATTGGACTTTTAAAATTTTTTTAATAATTTCATTAGTATATTCTCTGCCATTTAAACATTAAGTATGGGGCTGAGGACATATCTCAGTGCTTGGATGGTAGGAAGGAGGCTCATCACCTCTCCCAGAGCACTGAAAATTGATGTGAAATCATTCATAGACACATAGGCATGGGAGAAGTAGAGTTTCAACAGGAAGTTCAGCAGACCACAAAATGAAAAATAACTATAAAAATTACAATGGTGAGATTATCCAATCACAGTGTGTGAACAAAGCAATGCTATTTTTAGAGTTGAAAAGGAATCTTAGAAAGGGGACCAAACCTGATCATTCTCTCAAAGATTAATGTAAAACAAAAACTCACTTAGTGGAAGATGAAGAAAAATGTCCCATGTGCCACAGCTTAGATCCAGTAAGCACCTAAGTGGGGCACAGGTCAGTCCCGTTGGTGTCTGTGCTTGCTCATGGGAGCATCAACTCCAGATACCTGGGGTTTCCTCACAGCTTGTTTCCGTGCCATTTTCTTATTCTTACAAGGGATCAGAACTAGAATTTCCCAGTTCTATGAGGGTCTCCAACACAGGCTGTTCGGCTGTTAATACTGTTAATGTTGATTTGACAGAATCTAGAATCACTGAAGACTCAAGCCTCTGTGAATATCTTTGAGGAATTATCTAGAGTAGGTTAACTGTGGTGGGAAAACTCACCTCAGATGTGTATGGCACCATTCCCTGGGCTGGGGTGCTAGGCTGAGTGAAAAGGAGGAGGCAAGCTGAGCACCAGCACGCACGGCCCTCTGTTTCCTGACTGCAGATGCCATGTGACCTGCAGCCTCCTCCTCCTGCTGCTGCTATGCCTTCCCCACCATGATTGTATCCTCACAAAACTGTGAGCCTAAATAAATTAAGTTCCCTCCTTGAGTTTCTTCTTGTCAGGTGTTTTGTCATAGCAACAAGAAGAGTGACTAACACAACTGTGAGGGCCCACTTGGACTGCATGCAATTCAGCTGGGCATATAGACATCTGGTTTGTAGCATAGATTTTGCTGTGGCTTTGAAATCCATACTGGCCGAGCGTGTCTGCGAATGCAAAGCACTTTCTGCTGTCCATCTCAAAACCCTGCCCTTTTGTCACTGGAGTTGATGGTATCAGGTCAGAGCTTGGTTGACAGATTTCTTGGCTCCTCTGGGTGTGGCTCAGTTGGACTCTGAATGGTAGCAGGGCTTGGCATGTTCTTTGCGCACTTGGCTGAGTAGAGAATGTATATACTTCTCATTAAGAAAATTCCAGCAATGACTGAAAAGTAACTCCCGTAAACTAAAAACTGGAGAAAACCAAATAATTAGCCACATATAAAATCTGACCACTCGTGCCATGGATCATAAATACTGATTTTGCTTGTTTGCTTGGATGATGAGGTAACTAAGGCTCAGGACTTAATATGGGTCATTCTGATAGGACCATACCCACTTCTATCTTAAATGAACCAAGTATAAAGATGTAAGCAATGTGGAGCTGTGACTGAGGGTCTGGCTTTGGAGCAGACTGCATAGGTTCAAAGCCTTCGGAGAGTGGGAAAAATCCCATTGTTCTGTCTATGTGCCTCTGGAGACTGGTACAATGTTATATATAGGTCTCTAATAAGGACTTTTAGACACTGAAGTTACTTCAAGTAACTTCAAGTAGCTATGAATCTATTGTCAATAACTGTTCAAAACTCATTTGGTGTTATAATTAAGGGCTGTGTATTTTAAAGTTTCTTATATCCAGGAATTCAAAAACTTAAGTATTGCTAGCTTTACGACTGAGCAGCTGTGGAGGCAACTGAGTGGTTCTGCATTCCCAGCTACTGTATCAATAGGAAGACAAGTACTGCAGCTTACCTGAATGGTGACTTGCAGGTGGAGTCCTCTTTGATCTGCCACAATTACAGTCATGATGGTCTGGATCACCAAGGCAATAAAGGTGTCCATGCCAAAGACCAGGGCATAGCGCTCCACACTCAAATTAACTGCGATCTGAAATCTACCATTAAATATTGAATAAGCATTTAACCATAGCATATATGCAATTCTTATCTCTAAAAGATAGAAACCGAGCCAGGCATGGTGGCACACGCCTTTAATCCCAGCACTCAGGAGGCAGAGGCAGGCGGATCTCTGTGAGTTCAAGGCCAGCCTGGTCTACATAGTGAGTTCCAGGACAGCTGGGGCTACAGGGAGACCCTGTCTCAAAAAGACCGAAAAAAAAAAAAAATGATAGAAACTGAAACTGGACACGGTACATTCCTGAAATCCCAGCATTCCAGAGATACAGGCAGGAGGATTAGGAATTCTACGTTTTTTTCAGGCCAACTTTTTGTAACTTTCCTGAGAATATTTTGCTCATGGAAAAGTATCTACTTAGAATTACTCAAGCAACTAAGTGAGTTAAGGATAAAATCTAAAATCAAGTATGTAAGATTAAATCACATTGCACCATATTAGGGCAAATGATTGAATGTAAAAAAGCACAACAGAGAATGGACCATTGGTTTATCTGCTATCACAGTCTCCTTTTCCCCTTGATGACTTATCGCAGCAAGATTCAGAGAGTAGACAGTTAAATGAAAAGACGGCTTCATTGAATTTAATTGAATATGTAGTTAACATTTAAGATTGTAATTGACTAAAGTCCTTCTAAATTTCTCTGAGAATCTTTAGGAATACAGAAAAGACTGGAAAGGTAATACTTACACTGCTATGGTTATAAGAAGCATATAGCTGGACTTGAACACTAAATAGCCAGCATAGCACACCCAGATGCTGGACGTGTAGCACATGAGGAACAGGGAGCCTGCGCTGACAACAGAGAAGACTGCCAGGGCCAGCTCTCCTAGCAGATCCCAGTTGATCTTCACACAGCCAACTGCAAAGGCAGCCAAAGCTCCTGGAAGTAGATGAATCAGGGGGATCAAGAATGAGAACTTCGCACGTAGGAAACAGACACACATCAAACAAATAAACCAACCAACAAAGAAACACCTTGGCAATTCTAAAAAACAAAGAGAAATGTATCTGTCTAAATGAAGATTTTTCAGGAGGGTTTTTTTTTTTTTTAAGTAGGCTTTCTTTCTTTTTTAAAAAATTTCCTTTTGTTTTCAATCACTTAGTTGTCATACTTTAGTGTCAACTACATAACCAGACACATGCTAGGCAGAAGGGACAAAAAGATCCTGAACACAACAGTGTGGGGAGAAATAATACAGTAACTCAGTCATTTAAAGAACACCCTGAACAAAAAAGGATGTAGTGAATGTTGTGGGAGCAGAGCTGCTCTATCTACTTCTTAATATCTTTTACTGTAGGTTTTTCAGTCATGGGTATTCCATCTCTCCCTCCCCGATTCCCTCCCTGACTCCCTCTCTGACTCCCTCCCTCCCTCTCTTCCTCCCTGCCTCCTTCCTTCCCTTCCTTCCCTCTATCCTTCCCCCTTCCTTATCTTCCTTCCTGGACCTATGGGACCCAGGGATCTCCCTGTGTTGTCCCTGAATTCCTGAGCTCAAACAACCCTCCTGCGTCAGCTTCCTGAGTATCCGGGGTTATAGGTACCTGACCTCATGCACAGCTGACCTAATTTCCTTGAAGCTTTGGGCAAAAAGATCCGTTTTGATTTATAGAATTTGAGAAGTTGCATAATTGACAGAAATGAAAGGTATTTAGGATTCAAATTACTGCCAATTGGTCAACTGATTTTCCCACATGTGATCTATAATAGAACCGTCTCCGAGGAACTTAAGAGCAGTCATTTTAATGACCCGTTCTGGAAAAGCCCTGTTTTTTTTTTAACCTGAAGCCTCTCAAGAGGGAAATAATGATTAAACAGAGGCCATGTGAGTGCTGAAGTTTTCTGTAGAGAAGGGTCTGGGGAAAAAAAAAACTCACTTCCTAAAAAATAACTTCAAAGTTGCATGTATCACTCATGTTTCCATTTACTAAGATATAAATATTTATTGGAGAGTATACTTCAAAGGCAAATTCCCCTCTGATATTACAGTCCTGCCTCATACATCTCTTAAACTAATCATTGCAATTACATACAAAGCCACTTCTGAAAACTGTTGGTGTGCAGCCCAGGAGTGCAGTGTAAGACCCACTGGGTAAGATTCTGGAAACCATGTGTTTGCTAAAGCTAATAATAAAAATACGTACTTATCGACCATTTCCATTTATACTAAAAACAATCTTAATTTTAGTAGCTCAGGAAATAAGGCCAACAATCAACAAATGGGACCTCCTGAAATTAAAAAGCTCTGTACAGCAGGGAAACAGGTGAGTGAAGAGACAACCTGCAGAATGGGAGAAAATCTTTGCGAGCTGTACATCGGGCAGAGGATTCATAGCTAGAATACATAAAGAACTCAAAAAACTAAACAAGAAGAAATAAAACATCTCAATAAATAAATGGGCCAATGAAATGAACAGATAACTCTCAAAAGAAGTACAAATGACCAATAAACATATGAGAAAATCAACTTCACCAGCCTTTGGAGAAATGCAAAACTACACTGAGAATCCATTTCACCCCAGTCAGTATGTCAGTAATTAAGAAAAATTCTGGTGAGTCTGTGGACAAAAGGGAACCCTATACACTGATGGTGGGACTGTAAACTAGTGTAGCCACTATAGAAGTTAGTACAGACATTTCCTCAAAATAATAATAGATCTTCCATATGACTTAGCTAAACCATGCCTGGGTATTTGCCCAAAGGACTCCAAGTCAACACATCACAGAGACACTTGCACATCTATGTTTACTGCTGCACCATGCAGAAGGGCCAAGTTGTGGCACCAACCTAGGTATCCAACAAGAGAGGAATGGATAAAGAAAATGTAATACATACACACAGTGGAATTCTTTTCAGCCATAAAGATGAACAAAATTAGGTCATTTGTATGAAAATGGATGCAGCCTGAGACAATCATATTAAGTGAATTAAGCCCATCTCAGAAACACAAATATCTTATTTTTTTCTCATTTGTATTTCCTATATTTTAGATAGAGAAATATGTATATATATGACATAAAAATGTAAGTAAAACTGTTCAGGGGAACTGTGGTGATTTGAATGAGAATGTCCCTCATAGGCTCCAAGTATTCAGACATTTTGTCCGCAGTTGGTGGGGCTGTTTTGGGAGGTCTTAGAGGGTGTGACCATGCTGGAGGAAGCACATGAATAGGGGCCAGCTTACAGAGTTCGTAAGCCTTGCTGGATCTCCAGTCAGTCTCTACTTCCTGTACCTGCTTGAAGAAGTAAGAGCTTAGCTTCTGCTCCTCCTCCAGCTACCTCTGCTGCCATGCCTCCCTGCCATGATGGACTCTTGTCCCTTTGGAACTGTAAGCTAAACAAACTCTTCCTTCTATAAGTTCCCTTGGTCATGGCGTTTTATCACCACAACAGAAAAGTAACTAAGATAGGGACAGAACAGACCCAGAGGAAGGTAAAAAGCAAAGGAAAAGGAAGGTGCAGATGTGTGGGGAAGAGTGTGCCCAACACATAACAGCCATGTGCACAAGAACTTTAGAGACTTTCTTTTTAAAGAAAGATTAGGGGGCTGGAGAGATGGCTCAGCAGTTTACAGCATTGTCGGTTCTTGTAGAGGACCTGGGTTTGATTCCCAGAACCCACATGGTAGCTAACAACTATCTGTAACTCCATCTCCAGGGGATCTGATGCCCTCTTCTGACTTCTGAGGACACTGCATGACATGGGTGCACTTACATACATTCAGGCAAAACATTCATACACATAAAGTATTAAATAAAATGTTAAAAATAAAATAAAAAGGGTTTGGTAGATAGTTGAGTCAGTAAAGTGCTTGCCTTGCAAACATGAAGACTCAACTCTAATTCCCAGAACCCACATAAAAAGCTAGGCCTGGTGGCACATGTTTGTAATCCCAACACTGGGGAGGTAGAGACAGGTGGACCCCTGAAGCTCACTGGCCAGACAGTCTAGCCTATGTGATGAGCTATAGGCCAGTGAGACCCCGGTTTTTAAAAGAGGAAAGAAGGAAAAAGGAAAGGTGGATGGTATCTAAGGAATAACACTCAGTGCTGTCCTCTGGCTACTACAAGCACCAGCACACACATGAACACGTGCAAACATACATGTGTGCATGTATACCACATACATACACCGCACACATACACCATGGAAAATTTCAGTGTCTGGAGACATGAACTTGAGAGGGTAGCCCCAGCAAAGGAATACAAAGAGATGCTTATTTACCTCCAAATGTTGCAATAGCTTCTACTGCTCCATTATAGACTGAAGAGTCTTGGGAGGGTGCCTTGTGTTCCCACAGAACTTGAACAAAGTTCAAGACCTGGTTATAACCTGCTGTGGCAAAAGCCCACCACAGAGACCAGTAAAAAAGGTGCTTTGAGGAGTAGCACTCCTTCAGATCTTGGGACCACTGCACAAAGATGCTCAAAGCCACATTTCCTGGCCTTAGGCTGCTCAGCTCTCTGTCCTCTGGATTCCCTGGAGTGGTGAAGAGTTCTTGGTGAGCTGTTTTGTGGCCCTTCTGAGCTTCCTTTAGGACAGAATCTTGTTCCACTGGCTTTTGACAAGCTTTTCTGTTAGGTTTTGCGTGGAAAAACACACTCTTCTGAGGCATTGGTAGAGCGAGTGAGAAAAGGAGAGCCACAGAGACACAGACCAGGGATATGACAAAGAGGTCAGAGTATGGCAGTTTTGCCAGGGATACCAGGAGCTGGGCCAGCACGGCGGATGCTGTGTAAGCCACCAGTGTGACACTCCGGCAGTAGCTGCTCACCTTCTGATAGTGCTCTGGGCTGACCACACTGTATATGTAGGCATAATACGCCACCTCTGTGGCTGAGACCATCCCAAAGAAGAACTCAGCTATCTGCATGAGCGTCACGCCTTGGCCAAAGAAGAGCAGCAGGTAGGTAATGATGAAGCTAACGATGTGGAGGATCATGACTGGCTTGTAGCGTAGGTAATCGGTGAGGACAAACACTGGGAGCAGCAGGACCAGGTAAGAGTATGTCCAAACAGGAAGGATCTCATTTGTCACCTGCAAAGTTGACATACAGCATGACCATGGAGTGTAGCACATCTCGAAGGGACATGTGGCTCATTCCTCAAATTCACATCTAATCAGACATTCTTCATATTATTGGAAAAATGATGGAAAACTGATTTGCAAGGAAACTACTAAGAAAAGAGCAGTGCCTTTGTCAAATGAAAACTTCAACTCTGGGGGTCAGGGGAGGGAAGGGAAATGAAAAGAAAAATCCCAAACAATTTATATACATAGGTATATATTCCAGCAGAAGATTTACATGGAGACAAAGATATATCAAGTTTAAGTTTAAATGGTATGTGATGGTTGAGTAGGTTAGTAAAAAATTTTAAAGTTATGTTTAAACTCAAATACTGTGAACTTAAGTACTTCTGAGTGCTTAAAACATTCCATTCCCTTTTTGTCCAAAGAATAATGGTATTGGGTAAAGAGTTTACAATGTGAAAAGAACACGGCGAACATTCTTTACTTGATCCATCACTAAGTCAAACATTTCAACCTTTCTGAGATTTGGGTGAACTCACAGGAGTAGCAGAGCAAATGGCTTTGCCAGATTACCAAGTGGGAACAGGTAATGCATTTCATTTCCTTCCTGTTCAGATTCGCTGGGCTCCCAAACTATCCCGTCTATTGATTTATCACTGTTTGCTCCAATCCAGCCTCAGTTTAATGTGGGTCATCTGGCTATTTAATCTCAAACACATGGCAACTCAATTTTCATAGACAGAAAAGACTCAAAAGGATATTGAGGGAGCTGGAGAGATGGCTCAGTGGTTAAGAGCACTGGCTGCTCTTACAGAGGACCTGGGTTCAATTCCCAGCATTCACATGGGGGCTACTGTCTGTAATTCCAGTTCCAGGGGATCCAGTGTCCTCTTCTGACCTCCAAGGGCATTGTATGACATGGGTGCACTTACATATATGCAGGTAATACATTCATACACATAAATAAAAATAATACACAAAATATATTTGTAAAGGCTATTGATGGTCTTTGGGGGTGTGATAGGAGAGAGATGCAGTCTCTTGAATCACTGAGTTTCTCCTTTGTCATTTATATCTGGATCCATTAATGTTGCCACAGAAAACAGGCCCCAGAACTAATCTGCGGCTCTGAGGGATGATAACCTGGTGTGTTTGTTGAGCTGCGGCCTGTCTCTGTCCTTTGTCTTTAAGTGTGACAGAACAAGAAACTCAGCAGTTGTCCTTCTGTGGCGTAAAGAACAAACATGGCTTTCGAAATTTCCAACTCCCTGCAGACAACCTAGTGCCAATTAGCTTTCTTGTGAAGCCACATTCTACACAGTTTTCATGGTTGTGGCTGGAGATTAAAAAAAAGACAGCTCATGGTGATTTTCCAATTGGGTTGGTATACTTTCTTGCTTGAGAGAGAAGGGGAAGGGCAAGAGAGGGTAAGAGAGGCAGAAGGGGAGGGAAAGAGGGAGAAGAAGCGAGAGGGAGAGGGAGATGGGGATGTGGAGAGGCAAAGGGAGATAGAATTGTTTCTGAGACAGGGTCTCACTGTGTATCCTTAGAACTCACTATGTAGGCCAGGCTAAAACTCACAGAGAACTTCCTGCCTCTGCCTCCCAAGTGCTGAGAATAAAGTTGTATACTGGATGTCTCTTCAAATAAGAGAATTTGGAAGGGAAGCAGGCCAGGGAGCTAAATCCCTTCACATCTCATCTGCTGCTAAATAGCTTTTCAAAACTAAGAGCCCAAAAGAAACACAACCACATGTTGCTTAACAAAGCGATATGTTCTGAAAAATGTGTCATTGGCCAATTTTGTTCATTGTGCAAACCTCAGAGTGTGCTGCCAGAAACTCAAGCGTATAACCTGCCACACAGCCAGTCTGTATGGTGCACACACGGCACAGCCTATCGCTCCTGGGCCAATAATGACTAAAACACAAGGCTAAAGTGCAAGAGAGGGATGTATGGGCTGATGCTAGTGTAATATGGTACAGTTTTGCAGTAAACTTTTATTTTGCTAAGTTGAAAGATACTCTGAGACAATGCTAAAAATATATACATCAGTAAATACACAGACCATTAACATCCATTTATCATTATTATCAAGTATTACGTATGGGCTGATGCTAGTGTAATATGGTACAGTTTTGCAGTACACTTTTATTTTTGCTAAGTTGAAAGATACTCTGAGACAATGCTAAAAATATATACGTCAGTAAATACACAGACCATTAACATCCATTTATCATTATTATCAAGTATTATATACTGCATATAAATGTATATACTATATCTTCATGGGTGACAATAGGTTTGTTTACACTGGTATCAGATTAACAGGAGTAACCCTATGACTTAAGCTGGCTGCAGTGTCATTGGGTGATAGGAGGTTTCCAGCTCCATTACAATTTCACAGGACCACTGTTGCATATGTGGTCCATCATTCATTGTAATCTTATCATGTGACATGTAATTGTATTACAGTTTCTTATTGCATCTTGCTTATCCCTCAGCAGCCTCTCAGTTTCTTAGGATGAGATCCTGTGGCAGACATCGATTTTAGTTTAAGGTATGATAGAACCGACAGAGACATGAAAGGCTCCGAAGCACTTAGACCAGTGTTAGGACTCAGTTAAAACACTCTTCACACAAGCTAAGTGTTTGCTCAGTTTAGCAAGTGTGAGGAGGAAAGAGTAGTTTGATCATATAAGGAAGTGTGTGAAAATAGAACTTACTGAAGTCATCTGTAAGTTGAATGGAGCCCCTATGTCTTTGTTCAAGTCTTGTAAAATTAATCCCCACTAAGATATACACTGTTAGCTTACCTCTATACTGGTTAGATTCTTGCTTGGTTCAGACAAATATGGGATTAAGAATGGTTCTGAGGGTCTTAACATGGAGAAAAATCCAAATAAGCAGAGTATCACAGTAGGATAAACCCAAGAGTTGCTTGATGAAGTTCTGAAGCAATTCATGGCTGGTCAAATGGAAACAAAGTCAAAGTTAAGTGGTGCTTATTCTGGTCTGGCATCTTGTATATAAGTGGACTGGAAATGGAAAGGAAAACTGAGTGACGAATAGCTGGTTTCAGACAGTTTCTAGGTGAACCGTATCTTGTCAGAGGGTCTCTGTGGTGGGTTGAATGAGAATGTCCCCCATAGCCTCCAAGTATTTGGACATTTTTTGCCCCCATTTGGTGGTGCTGTTTTGGGAGGCTTTAGGAGGTGTGGCCACGTTGGAGGAAGCATGTCACTGGGGGTGGGCTTAGAGAGTTCTAAGCCTTGCAGGATATCCAGTCGCTCTCTGCTTCCTGTGCCTGCGTGATGATGTGAGAGCTCCTGCTCCTGACACCTCCTGACACCATGCCTTCCTGCAGACCTCCAGGAATAATGGATCCTTACCCTTTTGGAACTGCAAGCCAAATAAACTCTTCCTCCCAATGTTTCCTTGATCATGGTGTTTTATCACAGCAACAGAAAAGCAGCTAATACAGCCTCCTTTTCATCACTACTAGGGGAAATGGCATTTCCTGTGTTCCTACAAACACAGTTTCTAGTGACTACCAGTAAACAACAAATGGTGGGCCAACACATGCTTGCTCTTACTCAAACATGGTGATGTGAAGGGCTTCCAGACAAACAGACTGAATTAATCAAACCTAGTAGCTACCTCTCCATTTTTCATAGATTCTGGAAATATATATATATATATATATAATTTTTTAGAAGAAGCATTTCATTACAGCTTTAACACACTCAATAACACTTTCCAGGAGAACAGCACTTATTTACATAGTCCATCTCTCCACCAGATTGTCCCATGTCTAGAATTTTGCTGGTCACATGACAGACATCTGAAATGCTTGTTCAGTGTCTCCATCTTTGGGGGATTTCTAATCCTTCAGTTAGAAAGATTAATTGGGAGCTGTTGAGATGGCTTGGCAAATAAAAGCACTTTCCATGTACGCTTGATGACCAGAGTTTGATCTCTCAAACTCACTTAAGAAAAGCTGCATCAAACACCACACATCAATAATCTCAGAACTCTTACCCAATATGGGAAGCAGAGACTGGAGAATTTTCCAGAAGCTTGCGTGCACAGTGTGGCAGAAACAAGAGATCCTGCCTTAAAAAGATAGAAAGTAAGAACTGATGACTGAGACTTGTCCTCTGACCTCCACTTGCGTGCCAGGGCATTCTCTTGCTGGCAGTCACACACACACAACAATAATAAATAAAATAAATAGTTACAGAAATTAATTGGACAATGATCTGGGCTTCCAACTTTATTTTCCATATGTCTCTGTCTTTCCGCTGGTGTCAGTCATGTTTGGAAATGGAAGACATCCCTTCTAAGACTGTATCCCTCTACTCTTAGGATTGGCTTTTTTATCTAAACATGTAGTTTCACATTATTCCAAAGAGGTAGGTAATCAGTTCTTCACACTTTTTCCTAATGTTGATATGCTTGAAGTCCAAAATTTAAACATACAGCCCAAGAGGCTCTCCTTAGTCACTTCACAGAAAACAATGAACAAAACTGTTCTACATTTCCTTCAATTGCTGTGACAAAACACTCTGACCAGTACCAACTTGGGGAGGAAAGAGTTTATCTTACATCTCCTGGGTCATAGATCGTCACTAAAGGAGGCCAAAGTAGGAACTCAGGGAAGGGATCTGGAGGGGAGGCAGGAGCTGAAGCACAGACCATGGAGGAAGGCTTGCTCCCCTGACCCATGCTCAACCTGCTTTCTTATATAATACAGGACAGCCTGTCCAGAGGTAGCACCATCCACAGTGAGCTGGGCCCTCCCATATCACTCAACTATCAAGAAAACGCTCCACAGACATGGCCACAACAGTCCGATGGAGGCAATTTCCCAGTTGAGGCTCTGTCAACCCAGGTGTGTCAAGTTGACAACTAAAGCTCTCCAGCACAGAAACCAACCTTATTTCATAGTGGCTATACTTGAAAACACCTTGATTTTTCATGTGAATTACAGTGAGTGCAGTATGGTTTATAATTCCTTAATTTTTGAGATCAGACTTTGCAACAAAACTTATACATTTTTGTTGGTATTGACTTCAGCGAATTTCTGAGATAATTGGCAGCTGTGAATATGATGCTTTTCTGAACAGTATCTCATTCAAGAATCCTAATAATTGGAATCCCAAGGTAAGTACATGGAAAATGCAACCACTGGAGTCAAGCCATGTGGTCTAGATTCGAGCCACAGTTTCCTAACCCATCAGTAATGCTGCCTCACTGCAGTGGCCGTTTCCCTTTGCTGCTTTATTGACCTATGACAACCTCTCTACAAGGAGGAAAGTACTTGTGTAACATAAAGACAGCACTGTGGAAAGAAGGAAATCCATGGTAGACATGAAGGCTTAATATACAGGCTTCTAAAAGTACAGTTTGAGTGACCAGAGAGACTGAAGGAGGCACTCATTCAAAAAGGGAAGGTGACATGGGTGGAGTCGCAGGTGTCCAGGGAGAGGTACCTACTGAGTCACACCACAGCTTGACATTCACCTTACCTTTTGCAAGGTACTCTAGATGGCTGTATAATTTTTCTGTTAAATAAGTAATGTTCGTGCCAACAAAGTCCCGGCCTTCCCAGTGTAGAGATCACAATGACTGGATTTGCAAAAAGGAGCAATGTGGACGTTGTTAGAAGTTATGTAAAGGGCACACTGGAGGTGGCCACCCTCAACTTACACCCTCAATCCAAACATCATGGATTTTGCTTTCTCTTCTGAGATTCCACTGGGCTTGCTGGGACATCCTTTGTTTCTTATTAATGCTTTTGTAGGAAAGGTTATCTGGAGTAGACACTCACTAAGGCTAGGTCATCTTTTGAAGGGTGATTGTGATAGGGTGACTTTTATTGACTGCATCTGGAACATTCCATCTCTGCTGTCCATGGATTTGATTATTAACTCCAACTCATCTTCTTCATGAATCTCAGAGCTTGAACTACGTCCTTGGTCCCTGGGCTGTTAGAAAACCCCCTGGATTGTTTATTTCTTTGTCTCCTTGCAGTTAGTTGAGAAGGCCAAGCAGAAAATACAAGTCCCAGTAAGGCAGGGCATGTGGTTCCAGCCACTGCTCTATCCTAAGTGGCTTGAATGTAGTAAGCCCTCGGGGAAGACGGGGAATTAATTGAATAAACAAACGACTGGACCCACAGAGACGCAGGTGGGGCTAGAAAGGAAGAGGCATTAGGAACAGGCCAGAGTACAGACACACATATATATTTTCTGGGTTTCCTGAGTGCACTTCACTCTCAAGTTACATGAGTGAAAGGCCAGGGAGGTCTTCAACTCTGTAAGTGCCCTGCAGTTTAGTTGTTCTGTAAAATGCAATAGCAACCTAGTCTCTGCCAAGAGCATCACCTCTCCTATCGGAAAGCCTACAGCTCAGTCTCACTTACATAGATGTCATTAAATGATGGTCAACATTTTCTAGTTTTATCTTACCAGGGACTGGGTTGGCTTTGAACTTACAGATCCACCTGCCTCTGCCTCCCAAGTGCTGGGATTAAAGGTGTGGACCACCACACCTTGTCCCGTTGTATTCATTTTACAGAAGGGAAACAGAACAGAAGGCCAGAACTTGGACTCAGGTTTTCTAATTCCAGCTTCACCAATTTTTCCTCCCCTCTGTGTTGGAAAAGCAGTTGTATGCTCAAAATTCCAAATCTAGTTTATTTTAGGATAGTGCTTTTCTGAGTGTGACATCAAAAAACTTTAGTGACTCATAAACAGCATTTTAAAAAGTAAAGCTAGGGTTATTTTTTTCCTGCAACTTTTGTTTCTGTTAACAACAAATCAATGCACATACACAATCACAGTGCATATGTAATGTGGGACACAGTCACGGCCTCAGAAGTTTCAGGGGAAAGAATAGGATTGTGTATGTACCTGTGTCCCTCAAAAGTCCATCTGTGAAAGTGTGTTCTCAGAGGGCCACAGCTTTATATGAGCACTGCTTTAGAATAGGGGCTGGTGGGATGGCTCAGCGGGTAAATGCCTTGCCATGCACGCCAGGCAACCTGAGTTCCATACATAAATTTGTCCTCTGACCTCCACGTGTTACACCCACATGCCGTAATAAATAAAATGTGTAGAGTGTAAAGTTCTTTTGCCATGTTTCCATGTTTCTCTGCAGCAGGCCCCACCCCTTGGCGGAACCAGACACCTGGGACACACTGGGGTACTTCTCAATTTGTAGAATACTTGCATGAAGTCCTGGGTTTGATCCCCTGGCCACAAAAAAAAAAAAGTACAGTGGTGTGTGCACTCAACAGATCGAGGCAGAAAGATTCAGAAGTTCAACATCATCCTCACGGACAGCTGACAGAGCTTAGGGAAACATGTTTACTGGATTATTACAAGGGAACATTACAAAGGTTGCTGACAGGAAATAGATTCCCCCACTACACAATGTAAACTAGAAATCTTATGGCTAAAACTCAACATATTTGCTTTTATCTGATATTAGACTATATGAGCTAATCCTGTCTTTTCCTCTACTTATTACTGAAACAGGGAGAATATAACTCTGAGTAGAAGGTTCAAATTAATGAAAGAGCTGTAGCCAGCTGAAGTAAAGGCAAGCCAGTTCTAGAGGAGGCATGGGCATGGCCGAGGGAACCAGGCTAGTGCCTAGCTTTTACTCCTGTGATGAAAAATCAGGATTGGAGTGTGATTCCACCCATTTCTACCTACGCTACTATATTTTGTTTGTGATTCATCAAATTTAAAAATGCCTTTTTACTATCATTGGTAAAAACCAATTTGACATACAAAGTTTAACACCGTAGCAGGTCACCTAGAAGAAGCCAGATCTAGAAACCAAAGAACTGGTAAGTGTTTCAGAGAAACTACAAAAACAAACAAACAAACAAACAAACAAACAACAACAACAGACTAATTTTGAAAGCAGAAAAAGAAAGGAGAGAAATAGAAATTTCATTAAACACATTTTGGGGCTGGAGAGATGGCTCAGCAGTTAAGAACACTGACTGTTCTTGCAGAAGACCTGGGTTTGAATCCTAGCACCAACATGGCAGCTAACAACTGTCCGTAACTCCAGTCCTAGGGGATCTGACAGCCTCTTCTGTCCTCCGAGGGCATTGTACAACACAGGTGCACTTACCTACATGTATACACATAAAAAAAAAATTAAAAAAAAATTGTTAAAAATTTATTAACTGGCTCAGCAGGTAAGAGCACTGACTGCTATTGCAGAGGACCCAGGCTCAATTCCCAGCACTCACATGGCAGCTAACAGCTGTCCACTCCAGTTCCGGGGAATCCGATGGAAGCACTGACAGAACGCAACAGATGTCTTCAGAAAAAGTACATTAAAACCACCGTCGATACCTCACAAGCACTGGAATAGTCAAGCATACCAAACACTGGGCAAGATTTTTGTCAGTGAGCTTGTACCTTCTGCTTCTGGGAAGGGACATGGTACCAAATGTTTTGAAAATCATTTGATAATCTGTCCAAGAAAGTTCATTTTTCATGATATGATGAAAAAATGAGAAGCAGCTAAATAGGGTCCACTAAATGGGGCATGAGTGCACAACCCAGGATACTTAATCAATCAGCAGTAATCAGCAATAAAAGTAGTGCACTGCCGCAAACACTTGGGTGAATAGAAAAACATTATGCTATTTCAAATTACATAGTCACAGAACTCATACAGTCTTAAGGCAAGCAAGACTAACTGAAGGAGATAGGGAGTGGATCGCTGGCTCTCTGGGTGGGAGGTAGGGAAGGGAACCACAGCAACAGACCATGAGGAGCTTTCTGGAGTGAAAAAAATGTTCTCTCCACAGCCTGACTGGTGAAAGCTATAAACATTTGCCCACATTTATGTACTGCGTACTCCTAAGGTACGTCTTATTACATGTAGCCTATACCTGAACAAAGATAAGCTTTATAAGGAACAAAACTATGCTTTTATGCTTCTTAAAAGAATCACCAAAAGATATAGCATGTGATTCCATTTGTACCAAGCCTCAAAGCAATGGAACTACAGAACTTCATGCTGATAAAAGCGGAGATCTGCCAACTCTGGGATGGGGAGCTGGGAAGGGGACTGACTGCATAAGGAGACTATCTGGGATATTAAATATCCTGTAGTTTAATGAGATAGTTACATGCATATATACAATTGCAAACAAATTAAAAAATCTATACACTATATTGAATATAAGTTATATTTTGATAGAAGAGAAGCAACCCCTCTCCCCCAAAGCATTTTACAACACTCACCTTTTTTATGGGTATAGTGATTAAGTTATTCCAATTTTCATATCTGGGCAAGGCCCCCTATATAATTTGGGCTTGCTCTAGAAAATTTAGAATGGCAATGGTACCCATAAATCATAGCTAGAGCAAACCAGCAAGCCCTGTACGTTTGGCCACATAGAATGGTCTTCAAATTAATTCACATCAAGTACCTGTTTCTCTTTTAGAATTGGGAGTGAGTTCCTGCCTTCAATCCAGCTTATGTTCCTTCCAACTGCTGCGTAGCTCAACCAGCCACAATTCCCTTCAGCTTGGGAGGGAGGCTCTCCTTAAGAACTGACCTGCCAGGGCAACGGCCAGCCTCTTCCGGATGGTTTACTGCTTCTGAGTGCTCACCCTTCCACTCTCTGTTGGAATTCTGCAAAATAAACCAAACACACAGGTTCAGATCTTCCTGAAATATAAATTGTTAGAGAAGCATAAGATTAATCCCCACTTTGCCTCGGAATACTATTATTAAAGTAATCTAGTTCCTCTAGAATACTGCACTAAGTAATTTACATGCTGAGACCCAAATCCCCTGATAGTCCTTTATGACAACACCCACTCCCGATTTTATCTGATGGGAAGCATTCCATACCACTTTAAAAGGTGTAACCTAGGCCCAGATAGTCAATTGGCCAGACTAGTTAGTAACTAGTAAGAACAGAATGGTTCTACTTTTGGTCAAAGCCACTACAAAAATCAAAAGGTGATAATGAAAACACATCCTTTCTGTTGTATGTACTTCAGCGTTCTTTTACTTGGGTGAGCTGTTTGCTAATGAAGAAATCAACAATTCCCAAAACATGTTTATTCTCCTGTCTATGGTTCGATCCACCTAGTAGTATTAGGTATGACAGCAAGCAGGAAGATGTCTAACAAAACTATACAACTGTGGTGGATGCTTAGCTAGAAAGTCGATCAATCAGACCTCACCATGGACAAAGGAACGGAGCTGGGAAAAATTAGTGCCTCAAGAAAAAAAGTATAAATTGTTCCATCTATTAATAACTATAATTGTAACAGCTGATAGATTTGTGAAGTAATACTTGTCTATAGATATGCAAGCATATTTTATCCAGGGAAGGGAGAGTTTAAGGATAGTAATTTCAGAAAGGTTGACAGTAGAAAATTCTACCTAAACCTCTAAGGTGCAGCAGTGTAATAAATTCATTTTTGCCTATTTGTATCTGTTAAATGAAAATTACAGGACACCTTTGTTTCAGATGATGCTCCTGCATGAGGCTCCCACAGACCAGGCTGAAAATCAAAATTGTGTTACTCATGCCAAAAGCCTTTGACTAAAGTGAATTGAATTTTGTTGTTATTGTTTGTTTTATGACAGGGTCTCCCTAGTCCCAGCACCTCCTGGAACTCAGGCTGTGGAATAGGCTGGCCTGGATCTCACAGATATTTCCCTGCCTCTGCTTCCTGAGGGCTGGGATTAAAGGTCCTTGCCACCCACTACCCCTGGAGTCCTGACTTAATTCTTACCTAAAAGTAGTAACGGGTAATTGACAGATTATTGTCCTGGTCTTCAGTCTCGGTTCCCACCTCCCCAAGAAAGTAACTTTGAAATGACCAGTGGGCTCTGGGTTTGCTTTTCTTCACTCTGTCTACAGAACCAGCCTCTTCTGCCCAGCCCATGGGAACACTGCTTTGTGGAATGAAGTGTTTGTTGGTCTGTTCTAGAACCTATTTGAAACATTGAACTAAATCGCTCCAATTTTGTCCTTTAACATTCTTGAATTGCATTTCCCATTACACAGTTGGCTCCGTTAGCAAAAATGACTGAACAAAATCGGTATATTTGTCTATTTCGGCTACTGCTACGGCAGTGTGAAGAAAAATCTATTTGGAAAGTTAGTTAATATTGGCGTCTATTTAAAAATGTACGTTTAGTGAAAAAAATGCCCTTTGCCTTCTGGACACTGGGGTGTTGCAGATACTGGTAGACAGGTCCTGCGAGGGTCATTTTTGAGAACCTTTCCTCCTCCCTTTCCAAGATCCCAGCGCTCCATCCGGCTTTACACTTTCACCGCAGGAACTCCAATCCCGTTATGATTCCTTCTCAGAAGGTTACAGTGTGCTGTGGCTATGTTTTCTTTTCGACTAAAAATAGCTCTCAATAGTCTTGGGATCCCTTAATTTCCGAGATGCCTTCCTTCTCCGCACTAGGAGGGCACCTTTTTGGCATTCTGTGCCCAGCGCTTCTCAGTTAAAACCCGGGAGCCCGAGTGCGGCGGTCGCAGAACGGTGGTTTTTACTTAATCGGCGGTGCAGACGGCTGCACATGCGTCCCGCTGCAGATCGCAGAACCCGGAAACCCGCTCGCCGGCACATGCGCACTGCCTGCTGCCTGACTGCAGCCGGTACCCCACCCCGCCTCCGAGCCGGAGCAGAAGGTGAGGCTGCCACCCAGGGATCATGGCGTTTCTTCAGGTAACTACACGCGAGGGATGGCCTTACCTACGAAGCGGGTGTCACTGACTTAACAGGCATCCAGCACCTTCGGCCAAGTGGATGGGATCCTAGGTCTAACTTAGAGGCGCACCTGGCCTGGGGGGTCCTCCAGGGACGAAGGCCACACACACTTTGCATGTGCTAATAATCTCAGGTCCTTGGATCGGTTTGTTCAGGGCAAAAGTGAAGTCGGTACCTGAAATGAGCAATTTAACACTGCTGAACCGGGGAGAAAGGCGGTCCCCTAGAGGGTTCTTGGTCTCATTCATCAAAGAATTTAAGAATGGACCTAAACAGAAGCTTTTACAATTTTTTTAGAATCTTAAAGAAAAATCCTCAGGGTAGGGGAGCTGGTCAGCTGCTTTGAGGAGGTGAGTGGTTGGGAAGAAGTAAAGAAAATCATGGAGCCATGCAGGTTTAGAGCCTGTGTGGGAGGTCAGACACATGGCTGACTCGCAGCCACAAGGCTGGGAGAAGGAAGCTTTAGGAAAAAAGTGAAGAAATAGAAGATGCTAGGGGCAGCCCAAAGCCTTAAAGAAAGAATGTTTGGTAAGAAAGGCATGAAGAAAAGGAGACACTGCACCTTCCTGAAGAGTTCAGGAAAGCAGACAGACTCACAGAGACCTACATGAGTCTGGCTGGTCTGGAAGGTCTGTGTGGGTCTGAACTAGTTCTAGGCAGGAAATATTTGATAACTCATTAACACAGCAGATATTCCGCCCATCTATTTAGCATAACTTCAGGTGAACCTGCCTTGCTAGGAGTGGTCCTATCAACCCGTGATTGACCAGTGAGATTGGAAAAGTGGGTCCTCCAACAGATAGACTAGGGATTTTATACTCTTAACACTGCTACCCTCCGTATCAGTGCAGTAGGACAAGGCATCTGCTCAGTTTGTCTTTTTCTGTGAATTCGTCTATTTCTCCTAAATATCAGGAGAGAGGCAGCCTGTGACCCCCATTTTGCATATGAAGAAAGTGACAGATAAGGAGGCATGAATTTTAGACATGCTAAGTGAAGAATGAATTTTAGAGGAGACTTCCTGGCTCCAGTGTTAGGGACACTGCCCCTCCACCACCTCAGGGGGTGGGGTGAGCGTTTTCCCAGCGTATTAAGGTCTTTTGACATAAATAGTTCATATAGTAAAGTAACAATTATTAACAGAATAGTTTTTGTTTGTTTTGTCCTGGGGAGACTGTCCTCAGGTCCCTGTGTGTAGAGTACTGTACCACTGAATCACACACTCAGCTCCCAAAGATTTTTGAATTTTATCTTTAATATTATAAATTTTATTTACTTAACATTTTACATTTCCTATTGGTTAGTTATGCGGCTACACCTTCAGCATGGGAGAGTCTGTCCATTGTGCAACAAGTTGTATTTGTAGCCCCCCCCCCCACCTCATTGTAACATATTCTGGAAGCTCAAGACTTTCAGATTTCCTCTACATGGGAGAAGACCTGAAATTTTGAGAAATTTGTGTCTGTTTCTCTGATATCTCATAGCAATATAGCACTAGTCCAAATCAGAGGGCAATTCATTTGTACAAGCACAAATTTGTAGATGAGATCTGAATTTGGGTCCATGTGAACCTCTGCTGGACAGGGTAAGAGAAGGGTCACAGATGAGGGTGGGCTGGTCATGAGGTGATAACTGTTGATTTGAGTGATGGCTCTTAGAAAGTTTTGCACTGTTCTCTATGTGTGTGTATGTGAGAGAGAGAGAGAGAGAGAGAGAGAGAGAGAGAGAGAGAGAGATTTTCATAAGAAAAACCCATTTTAAAACTTATTAAAAAGTAATTAATGGGGCTGTAAAGATGGCTCAGCAATTACGAGCACTGGCTGCTCTTGCAGAGCACCTGGGTTCAGCTCCTAGCACCCACATGGCAGCTAATAATCATCTGTAATTCTAGTTCCAGGGGATCTGATGCCCTTTTCTGACCTCTGCGGGAACTGCGTAACACAGGTACACTTACATACATGCAGGCAATACACTCATACACATAAAATAAAAATATATAAAATATTTCTTAAAAAGAAGTTATTGATTACAAACAATGTCAATCACACTTCTGGGAGTATACCAACACTAACCTCTGCCTTGAGGGATTTGCATTCTGGTTGGGTATAGGGTTTGGTACATGGAGATTTTGTGAGGATATAGAGCTGGTGGGTAAGAGGAGGAAGAAGGGAACCAGGGTCTGAGACTTGGGGTTCCAGTGTTGAAAGGGGGGAGGCCAGACAGGAGAGTGGGAGGAGAAAGAGCAGCAGAGAAGGCCAGTTTATTTTAAAGGATGCAGAAGAGCTGGGGAGGAAGGGCTTTTATGGAGGAGGGAGTGGTCGATCAGTTCAGTCAGCAGAAGTTACTGGGAGGCCAGATGAAAAGCCCTGTGCGTATGTGTACGGGAAAGACAGGAGGCAGGTCTGTGGCAAGGGCAGGCTTACTCCAGAATAAACCTAAGAAGGGCAGTCAGCAGAGGAAGCTAGAGCATAAACTTCTCTCCCAGGCTTTTTTTTTTTTTTTTTTTTTTTTTATGAGTATTTTGCCAGCATGTATATAAATGCACCTGTGTTGTGCAAGGCCTCTCGAGGCTGGAAGAGGGCACTGGAGCACCTGGAACTGAAGTTAAGGATGATTGTTAGCGTCCATGTGGGTGCTGGGACCAGGGTCCTCTGCAAGAACAGACAGTGCTCTTAACCACTGAATCATCTCTCCAGCCCCATCAATGTAATTTTTAAATTAAAAAAAGAAATTAGACATGTATCATCAATCTTCTTAGTTATTTAAGATGCTACTAGGCAAAAAAATAACTAACCAAGTAGTGTAAAAAGTCATAACTTCAAGGGACTTTTAAGCCCATTTGGGCCCTTTTCTCCCCATAGCCCATCATTCTAAAATATATGCCTACAGTGTGCTGTCTAGCAGGTAACAGAGTTATTGGCTTGAATATTGAATTTGGAAAGGACTTGCCATTTTCCCACCTGCTAGTTAGAAACAGTAGAGCATAATTATCATTGTGTATATAACTTTTTCATTCTGGTACAAGAACTTGTGCTCCATTGAAAAGATGAATACAGAGTCTGTATACATGTTGCTACCTTGAAATGGAGAAAAACACAAGTCAAAGGTTGAAGATTCTCTCCCAGTTGCAATCTTTCTTGTAAAATCTGTTGTAAGACACTATAGGACCAACCCCCACAACTAAACCTCTCCCAGGTCTGAATGTCCCCATCTTCACTTGCTCCGCTGGCCTCTTCATGCAAGGAAGCACATTTTACAAACCAGACAGACATGTTAGAACAGGGTGTGAATTTTGTTTTATTTATAAAGAATGAATGACTTTTAAACAGAGGTGTGGGATCAGGAAAGAGGTTAGTGAAGGTATTTTATAAGGGGTAAAACGTTTATCACAAGTATTTTGTTTAATAAAGGGAATACTGGGAATTTTCTTTGTTACGCTCATAAATGCATTATAGTGCATAATATAAATATGTAGTTATAATTTAATAATAATA